CACACACACACACACACACACATATATATATATACAGTATGCATATAGTTGAGGTAGATATAGGTGGTTGCATGCTTTACTTAACCACAAGAAAATCTGTCTACTCTTTGTTTTAACAAAATGGAAAATGAGAATACAAAAAGTACTAGATATTTTTATTGGAGAGTGGAGAGGGAGAAAAGGAAAAGTATTTTGTGAATTCTTTAGAAGAAGGGAAGAGATGATACATAAAAAAAGGGCATAGGGTATATTTTTCTGTTGGAAGAGTGTAAAGGGATAATACAAAAAGTGTGAGATGTGTATTTTTTAGAAGAAAGGAAACAGAAGGTACAAAAAATGTGCACTCTTTACAAGAAAGGACAGGGAAGGGCTTTTTGTACCTTCCCTGTCCTTTCTTGTAAAGAGCGCACACTTTTTGTACCTTCTGTTTCCTTTCTTCTAAAAAATACAACATCTCACACTTTTTGTATGTGTGCTCTTTAGAAGAAAGGAAACGGAAGTTACAAAAAGTGTGTGCTCTTTACAAGAAAGGACAGGGAAGGTACAAAAAGTGTGTGCTCTTTACAAGAAAGGACGGAAGGTACAAAAAAGTGTGTGCTCTTTACAAGAAAGGACAGGGAAGGTACAAAAAGTGTGTGCTCTTTACAAGAAAGGACAGGGAAGTATCAAAAAATGTGAACTGTGTACTCTTTAGAAGAAAGGTAACAGAATACAAAAAATATATAAAAATGTACTTTTATAGACAGCAAAAGGAAAAGATATAAAAATATAAGGTGTGTATTCATTAATGGAAAGAAATTGAAGAAGTTTATATGTATTGTTTGAAAGAGGGGAAAAGGAGAAAGCAAAATGTGAATGCATCATGCACTGAAACACTGTTAATTATGGATAATAATCAAAATGACGTTTAGTTTGATAAAATAATATTTATGAAAAATTTCATATTCCTATTCAACGTGAAAGTTACAATTCTTTCTCTTGTATATTTTTTCATGATTTGTTTACAAGAGAAAGTTGTTTAACAATTTTATTCTCAGATTTTGCATAATTGATACAGGATTTGCAAAATCTAAGTACTGTGTTCAGTGCATGTAATTCTGAAAGATTTTTATCTTGTTGACTGCACTTGGTAAATGAAGTTTGATGCTGGAACACAAAAACAATAATTGACATTCACAAATGTGATAAGGATAATTTTGGTCATATAAAAAATTTGTGCTGTGCTGACTGGAATACTCAACATTTTAGACATTGTTATAGCAAGATTATATATAAAAACATAAAAATGACCACAGTACTTTAGAAATAATTAGTTTAAATTAATCCTGGAGTATTGTGGTCATTTTGACAAATATTCTAGTTATAACAAATAATGTATCACATTTTGTCTGTGAGAAAATTAAAAAGAAATGTTAAAATATCAAAGAACGGATTTCCTAAAAATTTAATATATTAATTCTGAAGTCATACTATAAATTACAAAAATCAACAAAATAGTTCACTGAACAAGGTTATTTAAAGCATCTTCTGATAAATTTTGCCATATAGGCAAAAGTCGCTCACTGAATGTGAACATTCATAAAATTCTTAAAAAATACAAAAACAGCTTTTCAATTGAAAAAAGTACAGAGTATACCTATCAATTAAATAAAAAATGTTAATTCTACTTTGTTTTAATAAAATCTTAGTAGCTTCATTCCAATAATACTTACTTTCTAATTTCTTTAGATTTGGAAGTTAAATTAGAAGTGATAATTGGAATTAGCCTTGAGCCATGTGTATGCTGGAAATAAAATGACAAAATATAAGTGTTACATTTAGCATCAAAATTCAATTATTGCTAAAATTATATGTCTGGCTTAATGTTATAAAAGATAATAAATATTTTAAGTAAAAATACTGAATAAACATCTATATAATGTATTTAATTGAAAAGTAAATTACATGACATTATAAACACAACAAAATGTGAATCAGTTACATAATGTTTTAGGTTCAATAAAAATGAAAAATAAACAACAAGTGCCACCAGAATACAAAGGAAATTCTCATAGAAACAATATAGATTACAACAATCCCAACAATCTTTTAAAGATATCCTCAAAAAAAAAATCAATGAAACAGTGGATTCTATTAAGGAAGGAATTATAAATCAAATGGTTCACCTTGTTCTAAAACATGTTTTAACTCTTTCACTGCAAAGTTAAATATGTAGTTCACACAGTGGCAGTTTATTTTTAGCTCTGGGGAGTTTGAAGGGGAATACCCTTTCTCTATAATGGTAAAATATTTCAAATTCACATAACAGGGATCTAGAGGAGGAAATTATATTTGCTCAGGACAGTTAATGAAATAATGAGAGATTTGGAACAAAAAAGAAACATGTGATTACCTGAATAATGAAGCGTATAGCAACAATACCAGCAGTAGACATGATTTTGGCACAATTAGGTATGAGACTGATTAAACACTGTAAAACAGCTTCTGAAAAATGATCAAATTTAATTCCAAGCTGCTGAGAAAGATATCTGAAATATAAAGAAAATTCATTCGAAGGTTTTAATATTTTATGAACAATATCTTTAATATATCTAAAACCTTTCTTTATATAATATTTACAGAATTTACTACATATTGTTAAATGTTGACCATTAACACAACAGAAACATTACCAAAGTAGTTCTTAGATTTTTGAAGTAGAGTGTGATGCAAAATTTGAGATCACTCACGTATGCCCAAAATAAGTACAAAATGCAGTATACAGTACTTTGTAGTAAGAATATCTGTGTCAAAATTAATCTAGTAGTTAAAACATTTGACTTGATTTTATTTTATATGTTAATATAATATTATATGTATGCAAGTTTTATAACCAGCTTTGTAACCTATAATAACTTTTGTTGAACTATACATTTTTGATCCAGACAAAAATTAAAAATTAGTTGAACCATTCTGTTAATTTGTACAAATAACACAACCAACAAGGTAGTTAAGAAACAGGTCTGAGTTCAAGACTAGTAGATTTCTACATCCCTGAAACTTCAGATATGGTACTATAACTTATAATATGCAATTTTTTAACCGTATCGTGACAGGCATCCTTTACTGCACACGTCATGAGGTTTTAGTGACTTACATTCAATATTTTATTAATCTACTTTTATGTTTATATTATTCCAATTAGTATAGCATAAAATCTTAGATAATAATCCATATTTTAATAATATACAAGTTTTAAGTTCTTAATTTTATACAGCAATATTTAAAAAAATCCTGAATTTCCCCTAGGGTGATGCATTTTCTATATGCATCTTCTCTTCTATATTTTATCCACCATTCCTCCAATAAGTATGAAATTAAACTTAAATTACTCACTATAAAATCGTTATTGCTCAGACAAACAATAATTTTTATAGCCTTCAATTTTGTTTGGTTATAGAGCTATGATATAGAAATTCAGACCTGCCACACCCACCTGTCACATTCTCTCTTTCAGGATTTGTTAAATGTTCTCTCTTATGTTTGATTCTACATTATTTATAACCAATAGAAAGCCAAAGTTTTCATCTATCAAATGACATATTGTATAATGTTGTTTTCTGAACAGAGAATTGTCAATTTCACTGTTAGTACAAGCTTTGTTCCCATGGGAAAGATAACGACTAGCTTGGATGAACTTATAATGGCTCTTGTTGCATAGTTAGGAAGCCAGAAAAAAACTGTAAGGGTTAGAGAAAGTTGTCTATTTTTTGTTTGTTATTAGCCTATGTTCTTTGGTGCATTGTAATGAAAACTATTTAGTGCATTATTACTAATTAGTATAAAAAAAGTAGGGTTAAGTATCATCGACAATCGACAGCAAGAAAAAAGAAGATTCTGCTGTAACGGCCAAGGCGGATGTAACGGTACAGCAGTTCATAAAATTCTAAAAAATACAAAAAACTGCTTTTTCAATTGAAAAAAGT